TAAGGAAGCTAATCTTGAAACTTTGGTAACCACGAATCTAAAGTCTGCAATGGCAATAAGTACATACCTTTCAATAATCACCCTAAATGTAAATGGACTGAATGCACCAATCAAAAGATACAGAGTGATAGAATGGATAAAAAAGCAAGACCCATCTATATGCTGCCTACAAGAAACTCACCTCAAACCCAAAGACATGCACAGACTAAAAGTCAAGAGATGGAAAAATATATTTCATGCAAACAACAGCAAGAAAAAAGCAGGTGTTGCAGTGCTAGTATCAGACAAAATAGACTTCAAAATAAAGAAAGTAACAAGAGATAAAGAAGGACATTACATAATGATAAAGGGCTCAGTCCAACAAGAGGATATAACCATTATAAATATATAGGCACCCAACACAGGAGCACCAGCATATGTGAAACAAATACTAACAGAACTAAAGGAGGAAATAGAATGCAATGCATTCATTTCCGGAGACTTCAACATGCTGCTCACTCCAAAGGATAGATCCACTGGACAGAAAATAAGTAAGGACACAGAGGCACTGAACAACACACTACAACAGATGGACCTAATAGACATCTATAGATCTCTACATCCAAAAGCAACAGGATACACATTCTTCTCAAGTGCACATGGAACATTATCCAGAACAGACCATGTACTAGGCCACAAAAAGAGCCTCAGTAAATTCAAAAAGATTGAAATTCTACCAATCAACTTCTCAGACGACAGAAATTTTCTAAAACTAGAAAAATATTGTACAAAGAAAACAAAAAGGCTCACAAGCACATGGAGGCTTAACAACATGCTCCTAAATAATCAATGGATCAATAAACAAATTAAAATAGAGATCAAGGAATATATGGAAACAAATGACAACAACACCACATAGCCCCAACTTCTGTGGGACACAGCAAAAGCAGTCTTGAGAGGAAAGTATATAGCAACCCAGGCATACTTAAAGAAGGAAGAACAATCCCAAATGAATAGTCTAAGTCACAATTATCAAAACTGGAAAAAGAAGAACAAATGAGGCCTAAAGTCAGAATGAGGGACATAATAAAGAGCAGAGAAGAAATAAACAAAATTGAGAAGAATAAAACGATATAAAAAATTAACGAAACCAGGAGCTGGTTCTTTCAGAAAATAAACAAAATAGATAAGCCTCTAGCCAAACTTATTAAGAGAAAAAGAGAATCAACACACATCAACAGAATCAAAAACGAGAAAGGAAAAATCACGACAGACTCCACAGAAACACAAAAAATTATTAGAGACTACTATGAAAACCTATATGCTAACAAGCTGGAAAACCTAGAAGAAATGGACAACTTCCTAGAAAAATACAACCTTCCAAGACTGACCAAGGAAGAAACACAAAATTTAAACAAACCAATTACGAGTAAAGAAATGGAAGTGGTAATCAAAAAACTACCTAAGAACAAAACCCCCGGGCCAGATGGATTTACCTCGGAATTTATCAGACATACAGAGAAGACATAATACCCATTCTCCTTAAAGTTTTACAAAAAATAGAAGAGAAGGGAATACTCCCAAACTCATTCTATGAAGCCAACATCACCCTAATACCAAAACCAGGCAAAGACTCCACTAAAAAAAGAAAATTACACACCAATATCCCTGATGAATGTAGATGCAAAAATACTCAACAAAAGATTAGCAAGCCGAATTCAAAAATATATCAAAAGGATCATACACCACAACCAAGACGGATTCATCCCAGGGATGCAAGGATGGTACAACATTCGAAAATACATGAACATCATCCACCACATCAACAAAAAAAAGACAAAAACCACATGATCCTCTCCATAGATGCTGAAAAAAATTTCAACAAAATTCAACATCCATTCATGATAAAAACTTTCAGCAAAATGAGTATAGAGGTCAAGTACCTCAACATAATAAAGGACATATATGATAAACCTACAGCTGATTTCATACTGAACAGCAAGAAGCTGAAAGCTTTTCCTCTGAGATCAGGAACAAGACAAGGATGCCCACTCTCCCCACTGTTATTTAACATAGTACTGGAGGTCCTAGCCATGGCAATTAGACAAAACAAAGAAATACAAAGAATCCAGATTGGTAAAGAAGAAGTTAAACTGTCACTATTTGCAGATGACATGATATTGTACATAGAAAACCCCAAAGACTCCACACCAAAACTACTAGAACTGATATCGGAATACAGCAAAGTTGCAGGATACAAAATTAACACACAGAAATCTGTGGCTTTCCTAAACACTAACAATCGAACAATAGAAAGAGAAATCAGGAAAACAATTCCATTCACAATTGCATCAAAAAGAATAAAATACCTAGGAATAAACCTAACCAAAGAAGAGAAAGACCTATACCCTAAAAACTATAAGACACTCTTAAGAGAAATTAAAGAAGACACTAACAAATGGAAACTCATCCCATGCTCTTGGCTAGGAAGAATTAATATCATCAAAATGACCATCCTGCCCATACCAATGTACAGATTTGATGCAATCCCTATCAAATTACCAACAACATTCTTCAATGAACTGGAACAAATAGTTCAAAAATTCATATGGAACCACCAAAGACCCCAAATACACAAAGCAATCCTGAGAAGGAAGAATAAAGTGGGGGAAATCTCACTCCCCAACTTCAAGCTCTACTACAAAGCCACAGTAATCAAGACAATTTGGTACTGGCACAAGAACAGAGCCACAGACCAGTGGAACAGAATAGAGACTCCAGACATTAACCCAAACATATATAGTCAATTAATATATGATAAAGGAGCCATGGACATACAATGGGGGAAATGACAGTCTCTTCAACAGATGATGCTGGGAGAACTGGACAGTTACATGTAAGAGAATGTAACTGGATCACTGTCTAACCCCATACACAAAAGTAAATTCGAAATGGATCAAAGACCTGAATTTAAGTCATGAAACCATGAAACTCTTAGAAAAAAACACAAGGAAAAATCTCTTGGACATAAACATGAGCGACTTCTTCATGAACATATCTCCCTGGCAAGGAAAACAAAAGCAAAAATGAACAAGTGGGACTACATCAAGCTGAAAAGCTGCTGTACAGCAAAGGACACCATCAATAGAACAAAAAGGTACCCTACAGTATGGGAGAACATATTCATAAATAAGAGATCCAATAAAGGCTTGACATGCAAGATATATAAAGAGCTCATGCACCTCAACAAACAAAAAGCAAATAATCCAATTAAAAAGTGAGCAGAGGAGCTGAATAGACAATTCTCCAAAGAAGAAATTCAGATGGCCAACAGGCACATGGAAAGATGCTTCACATTGCTAGTCATCAGAGAAATGCAAATTAAAACCACAATGAGATATCACCTCACACCAGTAAGGATGGCTACCATCCAAAAGACAAACAACAACAAATGTTGGCGATGTTGTGGAGAAAGGGGAACCCTCCTACACTGCTGGTGGGAATGTAAATTAGTTCAACCACTGTGGAAAGCAGTATGGAGGTTCCTCAAAATAGACTTACCAATTGACCCAGGAATTACACTTCTAGGAATTTACCCTAAGAATGCAGCAGCCCAGTTTGAAAAAGACGAATGCACCCCTATGTTTATCACAGCACTATTTACAATAGCCAAGAAATGGAAGCAACCTAAGTGCCCATCAGTAGATGAATGGATAAAGAAGATATGGTACATATACACAATGGAATATTATTCACCCATAAGAAGAAAACAAATCCTACCATTTCCAACAACATGGATGGAGCTAGAGGGTACTATGCTCAGTGAAATAAGCCAAGCAGAGGAAGACAAATTCCAAATAATTTCACTCATCTGTGGAGTATAAGAACAAAGAAAAAGTGAAGGAACAAAACAGCAGCAGAATCACAGAACCCAAGAATGGACTAACACTTAACAAAGGGAAAGGAACTGGGGAGGATCGGTGGGAAGGCATGGATAAGGGCGGGGAAGAAGAAAGGGGGTATTATGATTAGCATGTATAATGTCGGGGGGGATGGGGAGGGCTGTGCAACACAGAGAAGACAAGTAGTGATTCTACAACATCTTACTACGCTGATGGACAGTGACTGTAATGGGGTTTGTGGGGGGCACTTGGTGAAGGGAGGACCCTAGTGAACATAATGTTCTTTCTGGTTTAATTAAAAATAAAAATAAAAATAAAAAAAAAACAGAAGGAAGCTAGACTGGAAATCAGAAGTTTCCAAAAGCTCCTGGAGAAAAGACTTAAATTTTTCTCTGAAGGACCATATGTCCCAGTGTTCCCCAGAACGCATGTTCTACATACAACAACAGTAAGAACCGTGCAGTGAGCTCTACCGGTCACGCACTGCCTCAAGCACTTTCCTTGCATTATTCTGTTTAATCGGCACATTAGGCCTTAGTGGAAGTACTATTATTACCAGTACTCATTAAAAGAAAGTTTCGTTTTTAAAATAAATGTTTTCATTTAAGTGAAGCAGTGAAACCATTTAAATAAAGATATCAATAAGACCAAGACATGCTGCGCACAGGACGCTCAGGGAGTACTAATGCACGTGTGCCAGGTGTGACTCAACTAGAGAACCAGCAACGCTTCAAGGTACAGACCGAGCCCCTCAAGCCAAGTACAACCTCAGCGCTGGACTGTGGATCCCAAGCGCCACTCCATTTCGTTCCGGGCACCTCAGAATACGGAGGGCCCCTGTCGAGCTCTGTGCCGGGGCGCGCTCTGTGCGCTCCCGACGCTCCCAAAGGCGCTGAGCCGGCTGGGGACCGCCCCACCCCGCCTTCCCTGCAAAGCAGCCGTCCTCCACTCCGCACCAAGCGCACTGCGCGCACCGGGCCCAGGACCTCTTGCTCTTTCCAAACGACTGTCCCGAGTACAAGCAGCAGACAGGCCGCCCTTCACGCCGCACGGCGCTGTGAGAGTCCGATCCTGTGGCGCTGTGACGTCCTGAGGCCCGCGCGCTGCCCGGGGCCTTACCTCCACGACATCTGCCCAGGCGCCCAGGCACCCCCGGTAGAGAGGGGCTCGGCGCCGCCGGGTTCTGCTCTGGGCCTCCCACGGAGCGCGCTCGTCGGCGAGTTCCGCCCGCGCGCCTCGCGGTCCCGTGTTCTCCGCAGCGGGGGCTTCCGGCCGGCACAGCGGCTGCGCCTCCTGGTGGCCGGTCGGGGCCACAGGCGCCTACCCCACACAGCCCCCTTGGTGTTTTCCAGTGGAGAGTAGTGTATGAGTAGCTAACGTTGGTTTAAAGAAAATAATAAATTAATAACACACAGATAACATTAGTCCCAGGGATGAAAGTACAGCATGGAGAATATAGTCAGTAGTTCTGCAATAGCTTTCTATGTCGACATATAGTCACATACACTGATTGGAGTGAGGATAACTGTTGAATAAATATGTTGTATACTCAAAACCAATATAATATTGTATATCAACTATATATATATATATATATATATATATATATATATTACACCTTGATAGTTTTATTCTTAATTTGAGAGCTTTATGCTTTATATGGGAAAGATACAATCAAGAGGAACAATAGTTATTAGAGGAGACAAGGTATTAATCATAAGTTTCCAAAGACAAATATTTCAAATAAATAATATATAAACGTATAGCAATAAACTATGGTATTTAAAGGAATCTTTTCAAAAAGGATTTAAGTATGTCAAAAGCACAAAGTTAACAAAACAATTTAGTGACAAAATGAACCTACTACTCTGCATAAAATAATCAAGTCATTTTACAATTTTAATTTTACTCCTTTGAGACATTATTCATATTACAGTTTGAAGTAAAAGATTTTTTAGTCTTCTTTTCCTCTGTTTACTTGAGATTGATAGTTTTTGTCCTGTTTTCAAAATAATTACTATTTCCTTCTATAGTGTTTGATCTTTTTTTTATTGTTACACTGAAGTTTTCATTTCACTTGTTTTACTTCTCACTCAGCTTTAGAATTTCCACTTGGTTCTTTTTTATATTTTTCGCTTCTCTCCTCATTATTTTTGCCTTTTTGATGAAATCCCTCACCTTATTAATAATGGCTGTTTTAAAATAAATATCTGTTGATTCATTCCTGAGTCTATTTCTTTTGATAAAAGTTTGTCGTTATGGATAACATTTTTAAAACATATTTAGTAATTATAATTAGATGCTTAATGTTATGAATTTTATAGAGTTATCTATTGGAATTCTGTTGGTTTCCTTTAAAGAGTGTTGAATTTTTGTTTAGCAATAGTCAAGTTACTTACGGGTCAGTTTGTTTCCATCAGGTTTGGCTTAAGATTTGTTAAATATTTAAAGCTTTGTTAAGCTGGGTCTACTGTGGCTTTTCTTCATATGTGACTCCACTGGGCTATCTCCTAAAAGCCCCAGGTGATCAACAAGGACTCTACTCTGGATGGTTAGGTCTCAAACATCTCAGCCCTGTATGATATCTTGGAGGTTTGCAGTTTCACAGTGCATGGTAGTTGTTCTTCACCTTGTGGTATATCTCCTTGAGGATATGCAGCTAAGAATGCAGCCAAGACTCAGAAACCCCGTTCAGGTTTGTGGAGATGTTTCTCTGCGTATCTCCTTCCTATCAGGTGTTCTACCCTGTAAACTTCTACTGATTCTGGTTCCCTGATCCAATCTTTGTCCGCTCAGCTTAGCCTCCCACAGTCTGCTCCAAGCCCCTTTTCTTAGTCTTTGGTTACAAACATCCCTCCAGGCAGAAGCTGCGCCAGCAGGGGATCTCCTTGCTTTGTTCTCTTCCGTCAGTGATAGGTGTCCTATACTGTCCATGGTACAATGTCTGAAGACCTTTCTTTATATGTAGTCATATTTTCTACTTGTTTATGACAAGATGCCAAACATTATTTTTTGTTTTAAGATTTAAGTATTTAAGCACATTGCTTAGAGCATAGAGAAAATGCTAAAAATTACTAGCTATTCACAATCATAATTCTTTCAACTATATTTTAATTAAAATATCAATAACAAAAAATGGAACCTGAAAAATAATAATACACAGATATTGCAATCATAAAAGTGGTACTTAAATGACTATAATTTGAGAAAACTATCAACCTCAGAAGGACAATCAAGGAAATAGGTGTGATGGTTAATTTTGTGTGTCAACTTGAAGGGTGTTTTTCGATGAGATTAATATTTAAATCAGTAAATTCTGAGGAAGGCAGATTACCCTCCATAATGTGGGTGGGTGAGACCCACAGTTGAGGTCTGAATAGAACAAAATGATTCATTGTCCTGAACAAGAAGGAATTCTCTAGCAGGCTGTCTTCCAACTTCATCTGCACCATTGGCTCTCCTGGACCTTTATTCTGCTAGGCCACACGGCAGATTTTGGGTTTACCAGTCTCCATAATGGTGTTAGCCAATTCCATCTAATAAATCTCTTTATATATGTGTTAATAAAGTGGGTTATCTCAAGTAGTCCTTCTAGTTCTAACACTGGGTGGAGCTGCGAGGAGGACAGCAGGGGAGAGAGCGCTTGACTCCAAAAGCTGATGCTCTGAAGTGCTGATGGCGTCACCCTATGCCCTATTCACTGGGCTTACTTACCCTAGCTTCACTCCTTCTGTCCTCCTTTCCCTTGCAACAGATCCTAGGGCACTCCCATTGCTCACTTTTCTGAAGGGGAACAATGTAGTGCAGTGTAGATGGAGCTCTGAACCCATCAGAATATATGGTGCCCTAGCTCATCTCCCTCTGAGGGGACGGCCTTTGTTTTCCCTCATGTCTGCACGCAGAATAGGGAAGCACCTGTAGAGCCAGCTTGAAAACAACTGGTGCAGTCCTTGGAAGTTATTTGCCCACAAAAGCATATCTTGTCCTCGAAAACAAGCCAAGATGCCTTACCCTGCAAACAGGACGGCCTTGGGAACGTGTGAAAACACCGCCCCTGCTTGCTGGGCAGATTCTAAGTAATCAACAGAATGTTCTGGCCTGTTCCCCCTGAGTAGGGAAACATACGTACAGCATTTGGCTGAGGTCCGAGACAGGCAGTATAAAAATAAAGGAGCTGCACCACATTGGGGTTGCTGCAGCCATTGTCTGTCTGTCTTTCCAGTGCACCTCAGCAGGTCGCAACACCCTCACAAGCTTGCAACACTTGATTATCAAAGTCCTTTTCCCTCTCTGGAACTCTGTTACATCTTTAAGATGAGAGAGCTTGACTAAATGAGGTTTAGGGCCTCTGCTGGGTGGGAGCACATTTTCCCCACTCCTGGCCTTTTTTCCACCCCTTCCATCTCTTTACCCCTGAGTTGGCAGAAGGACTTGACTGATTGTTAAATTTTGTTAAGAACAATTGGTTCAGGTCTGCCCTGTCCAGCTCAGGAAGTGCACAAATCCTCCATGCCATCACAGGATGGCACAGAAGGATGGCACAGGCTTCTTCAGATAGGCCTACTCCAGTCCAAGGCTGCCTTTGGGTTGGTATAACTGCCCAATTCTGGGGTCTACTATGAATAGGCCCTGGCTAACAGACCTAAAGCCACTGCCTATAATTTAACCACAATCGGTAAAAAAGGTAGCATTTTGGCTACCAACTTTTCTTTCTTTTTAATTTTTCAACACTGTTTAGAATAAAAGTAGGAAAAAAAGTGCGATTTATTGAGATTCATTTGAATGACCCAATAATTCCCTCTACCTCCTTCTAGCATTTCCATTCAATAAGACAATGAAAACATGTAATAAATAAATTCACACTGTGGGTTAATGTAACACTTCACAGGATATCTACACCTTAAAAAGCACTGTAAGAAACTGAGGAAGGGCAATGCCAGTGGTAAATATTATACAACTATATCCCTGCAGTGGAAAGTATATTTTGGAGTAAGACCTTTTTCAGGGTCCCTCAAGTAACAAACATGTCTGTCAATCAGTCAACAGCTGTTTATTGACAATTAAAAATATAGATTATGGAGTTAGACTGCCTCAGTTCAAATCCTGTCTATTTCGCTGAGTAGCTATATAACGTTAGATAGATTATTTAACCTCTCTTTGCCTGTTTTTTCACCTGTGAGGTGGGGATAATAGCAGGAACTTGAAGGACACTTGGTAAAGCACCATAATACTTCTGTTTCAGATGCTGTTAGTCCTACACCCACAAGCACTTTGCCTCTAGAACAAAATGTAGAGAAAGGAAATTGATTGCAGAGGTTGTGGGCAGAATAAAATTAAATCAAATGTGTACATATGGACTATTAACAAGGAAAACTTTCTAGAAAAAACTGACTTAGAAAACAGGAGTGTATTCCCAGGATGAATCTCTCAGACTACCAACAGATTGAGTAATTTAGCTTCCAAACTCAGGAAGTGCTTTTGGGCACCTGAGACACACCTGGGGCTTTCCTCTCTGGTAGTACAGGCTTTAATTAATCTAAACTGCCACCAGGTACCTACAGACGTTCACACATTCCTTGTTTGGCCCCAGAGTCAAATGAAGTAGGAACAGAGAAGGAAATAAGTAGCCCAAGGGCACACAGTTTATTAGTGGTGGATTCTCCTTTAGAACCCAGGCTTGGGTGGTTGGTTAGTGCTTGGCCCCAGTTCCAAAGTGCTCCAGAGATAGGCAAAGTTTTCAAAGAAAGAAACAGGCCCAGGAGGAGCCTGGTCTCACCCATCCCTCTACTTCCTAGAATAACATTTATCATCCTAATGACAGAAGAATTCACTAGAAAAGGGATTTAACAAAACAAAGCCCCTCAAGGGAGGAGCCAAGATGGCGGCATGAGTAGAGCAGCAGAAATCTCCTCCCAAAAACATAGATATTTTTGAAAATACAACAAATACAACTACTCCTAAAAGAGAGACCAGAAGACACAGGACAACAGCCAGACTGCATCTACATCTGCAAGAACCCAGCACCTCATGAAGGGGGTAAGATACAAGGCATAGCCCAGCGGAACCCGAGAGCCCCCGCATCCCCAGTGCCCTGGTGGGAGGAGAGGAGTGGGAGCAGGGAGGGAGAGGGATCCCAGGACTTCTAAATACCCAGCCATAGCCATCTGCAACAGGAGCACAATCACAGTGTATGGTGT